GCAAATTAATCACCAACTAATATATGTCAAATCCACAAATAGTTTCTTAGCACAAAAAATTAAAGAACATCAGCAAGACGGTGTTCTTTATACAAATAAAACAGGAACCACATTAGCCCAATATACCAGTAAGCCTGAGGTGTCTGCGAGGTTCAACATGACAATGCTAATAAGGCCAGTATTTTAGGAATACTATTTGTGAACTTTGGAAACTTTAGAATTTTTAAAGTACACATAAGAGGCAAATGTATTAATTATAAGGACTATACATCATTGTCTGCAGCATAGAAATCATTGTTTGACAACTCCCTACAAACAATGAAAAACAAGATACCTAAAAGGAAAAACAAAATCTTGCATAGTATGGTATACTTCATAGAAAATAACAGTTTCCTTACCTGATACTAGTGCTGCCATCTTTTCAAAATTGCTGACCAGGACAAGGTCAGCAATTTTGAAAAACTGGCAACACTATCTCGAACAGGTCATAACCATTTTTGAAATTCGTTTTGTGTCAGCCAATCTTTATTAAATTTACAAGTTCACTTCCTTTTTTTGGGTTTTCAATTTCTTAAGTTGTCATATTAAATAATTAAAATAGAAATTATAAACTTGTAAACTGAAACTGTCACATTTGCTTTACAATAGGTTTGTTCCAACACAAGTCTCTAACCGGTTTAAATTTGAAACCGTACGAGGCATGCGTGATGTCATTTTACAGTCAAGAACCGGGCAATGCGCATGCCAGTTTTAAACCAGTTACAAACCCGTGTTGGAACAAACCTAATATTTGCCAGAGATATTTTCAAGTTAGAATTTTAAAAGTACATTTTCTGTCACTCTTAGCCTAGGGATAAGATTGAAATAAGAAAGTTTGGGGATGTGACATTAAAGTCTTTAACCGTTAAAATAAAATGCTCACAAATATTTTTATAAATTTATTTTGTTTCATCATAATTTCACAATTTCTATGAAAACCGGACAAATTAATAATTAATCCATAGCATGAATCTGAAAACCGGCATGTTCAGGTGAAAACTGGCCTGATGGCAACACTACCTGCTACTATATATCTTATGATATGCTTAACAACATGCACTCTGCTCATTTAAATTACATCTCTACATAAAAGAATTTATAAGGCATTCCAAAATTAAAATTTCCTAAGAGGAAACCTGAAGCAGGCTTCTCGGAAAAGCTAAGAATATTCATAAACCGTATAGTACTCTGCTGAAAAAAGTGAGCAAGCTTTGTACTTTACAATAACACTAATCTGATGTATTACCAAATGATCTGCCAGATTATCCATTAGGCTATTTTAAGACTAGGCTTGTATTTAATTCATTACCTACCTTGGCTGATGGTAATTACATTGGTAATCTTGGCTGATGGTATTTACATTAAAATATATAAATAAAATTTACTGAAGCTACAAAATTGTCTTCATCTCCATAACTGAAAATTGTTTTTGGAAGTCACTGGTGTTTGTAACAACAGAACATGAAGGAAATTTTGTAGCTTCAGTAAATTTTATTTATATATTTTATTGTATTTAATTATTTACTAGCCTTAAAATAGTCCAAATGAATAATTCAGCAGATCATTTGGAAATTCTTTAGTATTTTTACATCGTAAATCTTTTTTGAAGAGTTTGTTATATGAATTTTCATTTGTCTGATTAATCATTAATTGAAATCTGAATTAATTTTGGTATGCAAAGTTCCACTACACATGTAGTTTATTGTGAAGATAAATCTGATGGTATATAAAAATAGTTTAAGTTTAACGAATCATAAAGATGTCAGAAAAATAATAATTTTATCCGATAATAAAATTAATTTATTTTGAATTTGTATATTAAATAATAATATGAATTTTTTTATCCCTAAGCAATGCAAATGATCAACACAATAAAACAAAAACTAGATTAAAATTACAAACTAAAAACAAAATCATTTAGTTCAGTAATATATTTAAAAATTAACAAATTCAGAACAACTGAAAATGTTGCAATGACCACCGACAGGCACAGTACATTGTGAAAACATACAAAATCAAAACAACCTTTGAAATTCCATTCAAAAAGTAAAGAAAGAAACAGTTTGTAATGCAAATGATTCTCTAATAAGTAAAAATATAATTGAACAAAAAAGTCAATTTTAAAAATGAATATTACACAATATAGTAATAAAATTTAAATCAATTTTATCTATAATCTTTGTATTTCAGGAATAATTTGAATGGAAAATGTCAAATCAATAAGAGAAGATTCCGAGATTATATTATTGTTCTGCATATAATATTGAAAGTAATAAAGTAAAAAAAGAAACAACACACAAATTTGATATTTATGTGCTAATCTTAGAGTGGTAAATATTAGGAACTGTTTCATTGGATATCAGAGTCTGTAAGCAAATAGTTTTAAACTTTCAGATTCTATCTTTAAGAGAATAAATTGAAAAAATTAAATAATAAAGAACTTTCTGTCAGTCCAACAAAGTCAGATATCTGAAGCTAATCAATCAACATTGCAGTTACCTTTCCGCAATGCCACAGATCATCAAGAGAACTGATAAAGACATTGAGCCGATAGAAAGTTTGGTACCATTTTATTTTTATGTTTTCCTGAAGATGGGATCTGTAGACTTGAGTATACATTATTATTTATGTAAAATTGGCTTCAATAAATCAATTTCTTATATTTATAATTCTGTAGTTTTAAATATTTAAAAGTTATCATGTAATTTTTAATAAGGTTTTAAAAATTTAAACAGTGATAACTGTTAGTTACTTTTAAAATCTATATTCATTAACCTAGTTCATATACAATATGATGATAAAAAACATTTATGTTTCTATGTTGACTTAAATATGTTGCTTAACATATTTATGTATTCTGTGTCTTTGCTTGCCATTGAAATAAAATTATGTAAAATAATAATGTTAAAAAAAAATTAAAGTATAAATAAATAGTAATCATTTGTAAAATTTACATTTAATAACGGAAAAACTCACTAATACTTTTGATGCTGCATTAACGTCGTCTTAACACATATCAAACAGAACATACACAGATTTGAAAAGTTTTTAACATATTCAAAAAGAATTTGGAATGGAACATCATATATATTTAAACCACAGATTTAATGTACAAATTTTAAAACAATTTTTGGTTAATGTTTACCTAGGTAGTCCAAGATGGCTGCACAGTGGGGACCCACGTTCTAACCTAACCTAACCTATTCTAATAAATTAACAAAATTACTAATGTAAGATGTAAAATAACTCAAAAAATTAATTATATGAAGAAAGGAAAATTTTCTTAATTTATTAGAATAGGTCAGGTTAGGTTAGAACGTGGGTCCCCGCTGTGCGGCCATCTTGGACTACCTAGGTAAACATTAACCCAATTTTTTTAAATAGAATTCCACTACCCCTTTCACATCCTCTGTTGTAGGTTACTTCTTTATGTTTAGTAAAGATTAATAAAAAAGTTTATTCAAAATTTAATTTAAATTACATACAAAATTTTATTAAGCACTGATGTTATGTAAATTTATGTAATTAATATAAATATTTTCTTTAAAAACTCAAAAACTTGTTCCATTTAGTATAATTCTACTCACAAAATTTACAAATGATTATTTAAATAGCTTATTAATATAAAAATAGTTAAACTTGAAAATATTAAAATGCCATAATTACTTATACAAATTGATCTTATATGTCTATATTAAAATTTTATATCATGCATTTTAAAATTTATAAAAGACTTTATAAAAGATAAATAATAGAATATAACAAAATTTAATATTTTAAAAAAGATTTTTTTTTAAATATATGCATCATTGATAAATATAAATATTTAAAAATTGTATATAGTAGTATGTAATTTTTTAAAATACAAACGTATGATTTTAATACAAGGAAAAATACATTTTGGTTTATATTTAGTCAAAATATATATTGAAATATATTCTAAATTCCTATTATAGCATTATATGCTATAAAATTTTTATTTAAAGATCCATTCATTTTCTCATTAATACTCATTAATAATTCATATATTTCTAACAAATATTTTTAAAAATTAAAAATTTTGTTATATTTTGTACAGTACAAGAAATAAAAGTCTATAAATTATCTTTTACAGCACCTTAAAAAAATAAATGGATAATATTGAATATCTATTATGATCATTATTTCTGTTCTAAATCAAAAGAATAGATTATAAATATTACATAGATTAATGTAATATTTTAACAATAAAAATAATATATTTTCAAACTTTTACTTCCTATTTATAAATGTTTTGATTGTTTAATGTCCTAAAGAGTATTTGTTCGTAAGTTTCAATAATAAACAAGGAATAAAATAATAAATTTATCCAAAAATACTGTCTTAAAGTGTTTAATGTATTCCAACACGTATCTATAAACCTTTCACCGGTGCGCGTATCATCACACTCTACAACAGTACAACAGTTACGTTACAAACGTTTTTGAACCGTTACAGTTCTTCTTCAGGTAACGATCCCCTAACGGAAGATTCCATCAGGTAACGATCCTCTAACCGTTAGGGGATCATTACCTGACGTTTATAGTATACCTGAAGGTTTATAGATACGTGTTGGATTACAGTAATACAGTGCAGATATTCCACCATTTTTTTGTTTAATGTATTATTAGAGTATAATCTCTTCAGCTTCAGATCTGCTTTCTGACAAAAAAAAGATCAAACTGAATATCAAAGAAGTCTGATTTGACATTCATATCAATAAACAATACACTAAAGATATAACAATTACTTAAAAAACATTCAGTTGTATGTAAAACTAAATAAGTTCTAATTCTAAAATACTGATTTAAAACAAGATATATAATAGAAAATTCACGTTATCACAAAATTTGAAGAAATTTATAGAATAATAACCAAATTCATTTTATTATCATAGATTATGACTTTATAAATCATGTCAACATTATATTTATTTCACATACCTGTCAAATGTGATAGACACTCTGAATCTCTTCTCTGGATCCAGTGTATAACTAGGATGAGGTGGAGTAGAAGGAATAGGTGTTGTTACTAAACCACTTAAATGGAATCCTGTAAAAAATTCAAACATTTATATATTTATTTATATAGGAATAGTAATAATATTCAAATGTTTTTATAATTTAAAATATACAATTAAGATTTTTTTATACACAATTTTATATACAAGCTGCTGTAAATAAGTCTTTTAAAATTCAAATTTATTTTTTGAATTATCTAACAATTTTTCTTCTACTTATTGAAATATGCTCTTTCTTGCATAGAATGTAAGATTTTAAATTTAAAACTCGGCATTCGTTAATTGAATTTCCGATCTAAAGACCGTTAGAATCTGATGCAGAGCCCAGAAGGGGTTCGAAAACGTTCGTTTTTTTCGATGTTACCACACCGTAAACTGATTCCGTGTATGTAATTTTTTATGTTGGTGTGGTGAGTGTGGTGAGTAGTTATTTAAATTTAAAACTATTCAATATTTTAATAATTATAATTATTTTTGTATAATTATCCAAATATTTAAAATAATTATGTACAAACTTATCATAACAAAATACATTAATGATACTTTAAATGTGCCTTTTAAATTTAATCAATTACATTACATTTCACAATTTTTTTATGAATTAAAAACAAAAGAATTGTTTTCATTTATTTATTGTTAATTATCTGTGTTCATGGTTATTGTTAAATTAGCATTTACTTTTTAACTATATTTGAATGAAGGCATTATTACTTTTGCATTTTAGAAATAAAAAACAATGCAGATTAATACTGATGTTATCTGATATACTGTATATAAATCATTCTAATTTTTACTGTTATGTTTTTGTATGATTTGCAAATAACATATTAATAAAAGAGAATAATAAATTAGCTATGAAATATAAAGAATTAATAAAATTTATGTAATGCCACTATAAAATTGAAGAAATATATAAATTACAAATGGCTTATATTTTTAAAAGAATTAAAATAATAATATATCATTCTGTTCTTAAAGCCTTAGTTTAAACTTGTCTCATAGACCCAATTTAAATAATAAATTGACAAAAATAATATATCGATATGACAAAAATAATATAATCATTTCTGTTCATTGTTCATTCACATTCTAACGAATACAGAATCTATCAAAACTATTATAAATCTAAAAAGTTTGCCCATTAAACAATATTACATCATAACATCAATATTACAACAAAAACTGTAATAATGATTTAATATTGAACATTTTTCTTCTTGGAACAACAAATAAATATACCCCATACACAGATATATAAAAATAAGTAATAAGGATATATACAGTATTTATATATATCCTTACTATAAAATTATAATGAAAGATCAAAGATTTTCGAATATCTTTTAATTAACAAAACTGATTTATAATTATTAAAAAAGAAATATATATTATGAAAAGTAAGAATATTTATTACACAAGGTGTTTTCAGCTGATTGAAACTTTCTTCGGAAACAGATTCAAAAGCATACATTTTAAAATTAGAACCCATCAATATATTAGAACAAGTTTAAAAAAAAGAAAAATTACAGAAATAATTTTAAATATCTATAGATAATTATTAATCTTTTATTCTATTATAATGCTCTATAAATTATGAGATTTATATTGTATAGTTATGCATTTATCTTCTTTTGAAGCCTCATGTATAGCCTAAATTTTTATAATTGAAATCACTGGTGAAATCATTTCTAATTTATGTGTTACAAATACTAAAATAATTTATGAAGTACAATAAGCAATTATTTATTATGCTATCGTGGGCTGCAATCTTTAATCATATTTTTAATTTATTTAATTTAAAATATATGCTCTCCATCTCAAATTAGTAGTGGCTTGCACCTGTACACCACACTTTTCCATTAGCAATGGAGTTGTACTGGTCATCTATCTAACTCCTTTCAGGGTAAAATTTTTGAATTGAAAATAACACATCTTTAAGTTTGCATCATAAGTTCATATATAGTTAATTGGAGCCTACTGCTCCAATTAACTAAATCTGGTCTTGAATTTCATTTATCTAACACTGTTCTCGATATTAAGGAAGGACGGACAGACAGGCAGACAACAGTCGGAATTTATAGGTCTACAATTTATTCAAAATGCAACCCAATACAACTGTTAATAGGTAAATTATAAATTTCATGCATATTTACATTTAGATGCATAGTATCTATGCCTATTATTATTATGTTTGCTAATTACTATAAATACAAAAGCATAAAATGATATTCATACAAAATTGTTTTCAACAGTTTAACGAATTTAATAAGCAATTATTTTTATACTAGGGAGCTTCTCTCCCTGGTTATCTAAGGTGGCCCAACTCCCTTCTTGCTTCATCTATTTGTTTCTAACATAGGCTATTCATAACAGAAATTACAATACTGTATATATAACTTCAACTGTCTAATTCCAAGTAAGAATTCCATAAGATAAACTAAGTTCAAATGCATTTTGAAATGCACCCCTGCACTCTAATTGGAAAAAACTTTTATTCAAATCATATAAAAACTTTCCTTTTAGATTTCCTCCATCGAAATCAAAAATAGAACAATGTCTCCAGAACAAGAAAAACATTCTTTTTTTTTTCAAATTGATTGAATATCACAATTTTTTAAAATATTCCACATAATGGTCATATGGTTTGCTTTTTTCATTCATTCCACAGACTTGACTCACTTGCTTCCAATATAGACTATTCATAACAAAACTTTTACAACAATTCAACCATCTTTGACAGACCAACTTTATAAAACATGTTATATGCACAACTCTATAATTCTACGCATATATTGTTTGTTATGTATTATGCTGGTACATATTAGGTTGTATATTAATAATAAGAAAAATAAAAATATTTATTAACATATACTAAGGCCAACGTATATGGTTAACTTTGCAAAATAGTTAATACAAAATTTATTATGTTCATTTAGTTACAATTATTTAACATACGATAATCATATATTTTTATAGTACTGTATAATTTTACGAAAATTATATAAGCAAGTTCATATTTTTTAAAATATTAAATATATAACTAACAAATCAAAAAGTAATCTACCTAACATATTATTTACACGTTTAAAATATCCAATTATTATTTATGAGAATATTAAAATCATTATTAATAATCATACTAATTTATTAAAGTAATATTAATCAATAACAAATGTGAATAGCGAATGTTTGTTTCTTTGCCCTGTTCTAACTCACATTACTTATCAGAAGTAACCTATTTTTTTATGTAAAAAAGTAACTCAATTGATAGTGGACTTATAGTGGAGATGAGTGAAAAATCTGGAACATGAACTTATCAAAAACTTTAATAATATTTTTCAATCTATACAAAAATAAAAATAAAAGTAGATAATTCACTAAAAGAAAGCTAATTAAATTATTATTATAAATGATCCATTTGGTTTATTTTTCTATTATATTTGTAATATATTAATATAATCAAAATATTCATGACTATAATGTTATATATATTTACGTCATATATAAAAATAAATATTAACAGCTGCTAGAAATGTTATTGTATACCTAACTATCATATTTTTTTTTGCCAGTTTAAAATTTTTTCTAATCTATGATGAATTATACAAATATTTAGATAAATAAATATTCCAGAAAATAAACTATTGATAGATTCTCTTTAGCACAAGACTACACAAACTGAAGCAGTATTTGTTCACTGAATATAAATTAGTCATTTTAATTAATCTAACTTTAAACACTAAAATTTAGATACATAGCCAAATGATTGCCTTAAATACTCTGGCTATAAATCTGCTAATTTTAATAATTAATACTAAGTAATTTGCTACTAAAGTTAGACATTAGGTGCAAAATTGCTTAGTACTAATTATTAAAATTAACAGATTTATAGCTGAGTATTTAAGGCAATCATTTGGCTATGTATCTATATATATATATATATAGGCTTTTGGTTGTTTAATATATACTAAAATTTAGAATGAATAAAAATTAAATAATTCTTTGCAAAAAATCTAATACATATACATGTAACATATATGTTCCATTAAGATAAATTATATTTTACATGCTCTAAAAAATTATTCTAAAATATATTGGTTTAAGACTTGATTATTTTTTTTTCAATCATTAAAAATGTTACTGAAAATGGATCAGAAAAATTAAAAAAAACTTAAACTATAAAGTTAACTGTTTAAATAACTATTTTGTTAAGCAATTTCTAAAATTTATTAGATCAATGAATTTTATAAATTGCATAAAAGCTTTGAAATTATCATAAATATGTCAAAACATATTATTTAAGTATTGTTTTAAAATCATATTAACTGCATTTTTGAAATTTCATTATATATAAAGTTTACATATCATTGAATATTTTAAAATTCTATTCAATATAACTATATATTTAATACATTTATTACATGATTTATATATTAGTTTCATTTCATTAATAATAATAATTTTTTTATTTGATGATTTCAATTCTGTATATAAGTTGTCACAATAGTAAATTAGGACATTCAAATTACTAGAAAAAGTTAGAATTACGATTTATCAAAAATTTAGATCAAGGACAGGAAAAACAGATGCAAATAAAATTTTCAAACCACATTGTTAGTTTCATACTTTATATTATTTGAGACTAATATATACAGATTTTATTCATCTACTTTCATAAAACTTTTGAATGGATATTGAAAAGATATTCATATCTCATTCTAATATATATTAATTAATGTGACTTTTTAATAAAATTTTATAGTCAAATTTTCTCTAAACATAAATGTTCTCTAGCATATCTAACTTATGTATATTATATTTATTTAAATCTAAATTAGCTTTCATTACTATTAAAAAAAAAAGCATTGTTTTTAAGATATAGCAGCAGCTGCACCACAGAAATATTTACTATTGTTGAATATGTTACAATATCTGCAGTTTGAATTATAACTATTACAATCAATTTTATTTTTGTTTTAAAAAAATAAAATATACATTCGTTTAATTATCACTCTAATTTTATCTAAATTTA